ACAGTTTTTATAAAAATTATATATATAAAAACTCTCTCTATACATAGATAGATATAGATATGTATCTTTAGATTATATTTATCTAGAGTCAGAGAAAGGGAGCGACCCAATTGTTCCAGCATATTGCATGAGGCCAGCCTTAAACTATCCCCACCAAGGTACTAGACATATCAGTGAAGACTTTCCAGATTCTCTACACAAGTGCAGCCACCAGCCAAACATCTGAGTGACCCCAATTTACACTGTGTGGAGCAGAAGAATAGCCCAACTGGGTTCAGCCTAAATTTCTTGTCCATAGAATCATGAATAATAAAATGACTGTTATTTTAAACCACAATGTCTTGTTTTAGTTTATTCTAGTGAATAGATAACTGAACATTTCCTTAATATTATCAATGTCCAGTCAGTGTTCAACTTTCTCCAATTGGCTCATAAATGTTTTGGTTATAGTTGGTTTGTTTAAATCAAGAATTAAATGAGTAACCCTAGAATTCTAAATAATAATGAAATTACTTTATGTAGGTATTTCCCATTTTATCAGATACTACTATAGAAATTATTTAATGTGATATGGTTGCTCTGTATAGAGAGGTGATTTGAGCAAAGATTCTATCTCCATCACACAGATGAAAAAACAAAACAAAAAAACCCAGATCCAGAGAGATTAAATTACTTACCATAAAAATTGGTTTAAACCCAGATCTTCACATTTAAAGTCTAGGGCTCTTTCCCTTATTCTACAAATGGGTGAGCCTTCATAGATTTGTATTACCATGATTGGCTCTAATAAAACTCATTATTGAAACCACAAAAAAACAAATATTTCCTTATTTCTCATTCTTATCTTGAGATGCATTTATTTCCCAAATGTATCCCTCTTTTTAATCTTGGCCACCTCCCCTTAATACAGGCTTTCCTGATCTCTCTTCATTTATCTATCTTTCTTAGTACCAAAGTCCTAATTTATCTCTAAGCCTCTGATCCTGCCCCCTCTGGGTTCTCCTGCTTTCCACTCCCAGATGCATTTATCTAAAACTAAACTTGGTCACCTTGCCCTCTCTGCCTGGTAACCTTTAACAATTCTTAAAACAATATTCACAGAAAAGAATATTCTCAAAGGACCGTAAGTTCTCCCAGAAGATCTTAAAAACCTGTGTATGTTGGTGAAAACTCAAAACAAAATAATCTTCTGACTCAGTAAGATAATCACTTAATAATAGAGGGCTACCTGACTTCGGTGCCCATGACCACATTTGGATTGATAATGAGACCTCATGGTGCTGAAGTATGCTATATAAATAAAAGTTTTGAAATCATTGGCTAGTAAAATTCATGAGAGAATTGAATGATAAAACATAGGCATACCCATGCAGAAGTCAAAAGAATGTGTACCATATAATTGGGTACCATACCAATTACTGCAAATGCATTTTGTCCACCAGCAGCACAAGGTGGCTTATAATTCCTCAACACACGACACATTATTTCATGCCTCCCTACCTTTGTTCATTCTGTTCCCTCTGCCTGTAATAGTCTTCCATTTCCAGTTTCCTCATCCCCCAGCTGCATTCTTTTCTTCCCCCCACTCAAAGTCTCAGTTCAAGTGACATCTTTCCCTGAAAAGCCTCTATGGAGACCACCCCCTTCATCAGCACCACCACCAACCCAGGAATGGATGGACCTCATCAGGGCTTCCCTTTGACTGCACGAGTTTTTCTCCCAGTAGACCATAAACTGCAATTTCAAGGACAGTATCTTTCCAATTTTTCAGTTTCCAGCTCTTAGCACAGCGGTCCTCTGTTACAGGAATGCTTGCATATGTGGGATGGAAAGGGCTCCATCCACAGTTTTCACTTCTCAGGGGATGCTCAATGGGGCTGAATGCATTCTAACTTAGACTTCTGCTAAAACAGGCATTCAAACTGCCGTATGTGGGAGGTTGGTATCAGGGGCATGTCCCTTAAGCAGGGAGCAAACTCAGACAAATATCCCTCTCTTTAAGAATGACTTTTTTTGTTGTTGTTGTTCTCTTTGGATAATTACATACCCTTTCTTTATGAGAGAAATTTGTGAATTTAGGGATTTGGAAATATCTCAGTAGTTCAAAGATTTTAGCCAAATTTTGTCAGAGTGCATAAAAGAATCTACTGAGAGAAGGAACTGGAAAAATAGAATGGGTCCATATTTTAGATGACTTTGAGAGGCAAAATAAGATTTCGGATTTTACTTTCTACACTCTGAATCTTCCCTGGTTTTTTTGTTTGTTTGTTTTGTTTTGTTTTGTTTTTAGAAAGGGATAGTACATGGTAACACCTTAAGAGATGATCCATTATTTTCAGACCAAAATATTATGGGCTAGTTTTCTGTACTGAGCATGACAAGATTGGAGTTCTAACAGTCTGCAGTAATCAACTGACAGACTTTCCAAACCTTATTCCTCTTTAGAGTTAGAGATAAAGATTGAGACCTTGGATTCTGAAATTTTTCAGTATTTCAGAAACAATGAAATCACTTTATTTTCCAGATTTCTTTTTTTACTAATAATTCCTGTCCTTTCTCATAATAGCTTAAAATAAAGCCATGTTTCCTATTCAAATTTACTCTGGACTGAAAAAAAAATGGCTAGGTTCTGTATTATTATTTTTTCAATTCAAATTAAATCAGTTTAGCTGTTACCTTAAAGCACCTTTGTCTATTTTAACTGAACTGTTATATTTAAAAATCATGCTGTACCTCATTTGTGGTTGTTATTAAACTTCTCAAGTTCTTTTTAAGATAAGAATGGTAGCTCATATGTGAAAAAAGGTATGAGATATGACAATGAAAATAAGATTTAAAATTGAAATTTGCCTATGATATTGTTATAATCAAGTTAAAACCTACAGGGATAGAATTACCAAGAACAGAGAAATAACACTCTTTGACTAACCAGTAGGGGATTGTCTGAGGTTCTTGCTGCAAAGCTGATAATATATTAGCTGTATTTAGGAGAATCTAGCCTAAAAATTTATTCAGTGAAATTAACTCTGAGAGACATTGCATATACATGGGATATTCATAATATAAGAGTATATATAACCCCCTGCTCCCTTAAAATATGTCTCTAGGTGCAATTTGTAGAGCCATCAAAAAATTTCCATTTTTGTAAACCCCTATATTAAGACTAATTACATTTTTCGGTAACGAGATAAACTTTTTGCTTTGAACTTGGTTCTTGAAACTTCGTCTAAAGTTACCAACTCATGAACTTTTCTACTGGGATGTGATTCAAGTTTAGTTCTAATTTTTTCAGATAAACTAAGATTCTACAAGATGAACTAATTTAGTCTACCAATGTCTTATCACGTAGAATAAATCTCAGGGCTTAAGTGCCCACTGGTGCTAATAATCTTGCAACATTTCCAGACCGATATTCTGAGCATCTCTTTGCACCATTCTCTCTTTCTGGCTCTCTAAATGTGATGGAGGAGTTTGGGTGAAAGTACATTTGTCCCAGAATAGAAAATATTCTCTCAACTTTTTAGGAAAAGACTCCTTTGTGTTTATTTTAGTCTCGTGTGCCTTTTTTCTAATGTTAAAAACAGATTGCAGGTGGGAAAATTGTAATTAAAGATTTGAATCTTTAATTTATCAAGGTTTAATTATAAATTAAATATATGTAAATTAAATATGAACACAGATCCAAGTAGGCTGCTTCTGTTCATTACAGACAATCCTTTCTGAGGTTTGAAAACTGAATTACTCATGTATCAGACTGATTTTATGATTTTCTAAAAACAGCCATGTATTTTTATTTCTGAGTAGTAGTATGTTCCAAAAGAACCAGTAACCACTCCTTGCTTTCTCGGTGACAATATTCTTTACTTTTCAGTGAAAATCATGTTTATCAAGAAATACCAATAGAGTTTTCTGGGGTCAAATATACTGCAGAAAGGGTGTTTATATCGAGTCCTTTAAACTATGTGTTTTTCATACATCCTTCACAATTATATGCATCCTGCCTAATAGATTTTGATGTATAATTACCTTAATATTTCTGTAGGTTAGAAGATCAGATAATGACATTTTTATGTAGTGTGCGATTTTCTTTTTTTGATCAGGTTCTCTCTTTAGGAGCAGATGTCCTGCCAGAATATAAACTGCAGACCCCACGCATCAACAAGTTTACAATATTGCACTACAGCCCCTTCAAGGCAGTCTGGGATTGGCTTATTCTGCTCTTGGTCATATACACTGCTATTTTCACGCCCTACTCTGCAGCCTTTCTCCTCAATGACAGAGAAGAACAGAAAAGACGAGAATGTGGCTATTCTTGTAGCCCTTTGAATGTGGTGGACTTGATTGTGGATATTATGTTCATCATAGATATTCTCATAAACTTCAGAACAACATATGTAAATCAGAATGAAGAAGTGGTAAGTGATCCGGCCAAAATAGCAATACACTACTTCAAAGGCTGGTTCCTGATCGACATGGTTGCAGCAATTCCTTTTGACTTGCTGATTTTTGGATCTGGTTCTGATGAGGTAAGTGCTGCTTAAGAATCTTATTTTCTGAAAGATTGCAATTACAAAAGTGAATCTATTTCAACTGCAAAAAAAAAACCAAAAAACAAAAAAACCCACAAGTTGTTGCTTTACAAACTTCCCGTATCTCAGAGATGAAATTCATTTCATCGGAAATGCTATAAAATGAAATGGGACAACCTTGCCACTGCAAATACTTCACAACTCTCTCTTTTTTTGTTAAGAGATACTAAAGACTATTTATCTTTTAACCAAGAAAGGAAATTTTGGAAAAGTGTTTCATAGCACATAACACATTTCCAGGCTGTAAAATCTCTACATGTTAACTTCATGGGTATAAAACTGTCAAAGTTGAAGATGTCTCTTTCTTTCTTGACTCATAATTGTGGTTTGAGACAGCAGGAATTTGTTTTATGTTCAAATTATGTGGAAGAGGCATCTTCTAAAATGTCTTGTTCAAAACTCTTTCTCTTAAATAGTATCTAGAATGGAAAAGACTTCTTGTGTTCCCAGTATCTTATGAAGCTGGAAACTTCAAGGAAATCTGACAAGTAAGAGTACAGTGCATTTTCTGGTTGGAGTCCATAACTTTAACCAGATTCTCAAGGGGTTCTTTGATCCAAAAGCAGTTAAGTTCTCCTAAAGTCCCCTCCATTTAATTGCCATGAATTTTTATTGTAAATAATCTTCCTGGATTCTATAATGGAAAGACTTAGAGAAGATGTGAAAGTAGTTCTCAGGGAGTAGCTTGAGAAAGATAACCTCAATGTGTTGAGTTTTAAAAATTCAGGTTACTTTTCTACCTGAGGACCCCATCTTTTCTTTTTGTTCAAGAGATCAAATATCAAAATGCCTTCTGCAGATGTTTGCTCCCTGACCAATTAAGGCTTCAGGATAAAAGAATCCTCCTCTGCCGAGGGGAACAATTGGTTTAGAAGTAAATTCTCTCCAATAGATCATGCCTGTTGAACTCTGATCAGTTAAGAACAGGGCAGTAGAGGGGCACCTGGGTGGCTCCGTCGGTTCAGCATCAGACTGATTTCAACTTTGGTTGTGATCTCAGGGTCCTGGGATGGAGCCCTGCGTCGGGCTCCGCGGAGTCTGCTTGAGAGATTCTCTCCCTCTCCATACCCTGCTGCCACTCTCCCAGCCCCTGCTTTTTCTTTCTCTCTTTCTCAAATAAATAAGTAAAATCTTAAAAAAAAAAAAAAAGAGCAGGGCAATGGAGCAATATGATCTTCCTGGATTCTACAAACCTTACACAAAGCCTCAAGCCTGACTCTCCTCATCAGTAAGGATAATAATATTACTTCCCTTCTTACATTGTTTTATTTATTTTTAATTTGAGGCTCTAATGAGATAATACCTGTGAAACTCTTAGAAAAATAATCAGAAAAAATTAGCTGCTGTTAAACCAGTTGAATTTTTCATGTTAGATACTCCTAACTTTGGTTGTTAATTTAGAGGCAAGAAAGCAAAATACTTCTTGATACTTATCTTTATGAGTTTCTTACAATGGGTGATCCATGTATTTACATCAAATAAGTTCTTATTGATAAACAATAGAGTAAAATCTCATTCTTTCAAATTTTAAAATATGTACACCAATAGCAAATTAAATTTCAACTTGATGAAATAAAAGAATGGATGAACAAATAAATAGGTAAATAGGATCATTAGGGGAAGTTGATTTACTGATGAGATTTAATCAATAACAATCAAACCAGTATTTGAATATGCCGATTAAAACCATTAAGGGAGAATTTCTAGGATGCAACATTTGATTAGTTTATTTCTAATTTCTATATCACTTGAAAATAATAATATTAAAATATGTGATTTCGATGATCACTATTTCAGACAGGACTTCAAGAGAGCTGAAAACAAAATCGTGATTCATGTTAGTATAGGATGAAGTAGTCTCTGGGAAAAATGATGTCTGGACTATGTTTTCCAGGTAGCATCAAGGAAAATGTGAAGTTTGCCTCAAGGAAAGCAATGCCAGGTCTCTACTCCTGTGTGCTTTCATGGGCTCCCCCATGGTCCCAAAGCTACTCCTCATTCTTTTAAGATGTGATATATGAGAAAAGTTCTGACTTTGGACTTAGACCTGGGTCTGACTCTCCTCTTTGCCGCTTACTTGCTATATTTTGGCAAGATACCTAACTCATTAAGATTTCATTTGTGTTTCTGTAAAATGGTGAAAGGTCTGTTCTTATGATTTTAAAAAATAAAACAGGGGCGCCTGGGTGGCTCAGTCATTAAGCGTCTGCCTTGGACTCAGGTCATGATCCCAGGGTCCTGGGATCGAGTCCCGCATCAGGCTCCTGGCTCAGCGGGAAGCCTGCTTCTCCCTCTCCCCCTGCTTGTGTTTCCTCTCTCGCTGTGTCTCTCTCTGTCAAAAGATAAATAAAATCTTTAAAAAATAAATAAATAAATAAATAAAGCAGCATATTTGAAGAGACTAACTCAGTACCAGGTACATAGTAAGTACTTGCCAAAAGTTACTCCTCTTCTCCTTTCCATCCCTTTGAATTAAAGTCTGTTTCTTAATGAAGTCTTCCCTTAAACTCACATGTTACCACAGTAATCCATAAATACTTTAATTAATCTTTATTCAATAAATACTGAGTGTCTCTGATCTTACAGTAGTTATTAGATTAGCTAGTTGCAGTTAGGAATCCTGAAGAAATGGGAGACAGAAAGGAAACATTTTGAGGATGGTTATTAGGTTACAAAGCAAAGGAGCATGGGACATATTTTAGAGGGAGGTATGTAGGCATCAAGGATAGCAAGTGGAGGGCTGGGTCTGGAAGGGGAATAAGGGTGTCAACTACTGGGCTGAGTGGGTTATGAGAGGTAACAACAAGACCAACGATGAATTGGACTACTTTATACATTTTTCAAGGGTAATAATGAAGATATTTCTTTTATATACAAACTATATTATATAACTATAATCAGGCTTTTTTTCTTTCTTTTTTTATCATGTTATGTTAATCTCCATACGTTATATCATTAGTTTTTGATGTAGTGTTCCATGACCCATTGTTTGCGTATAACACCTGGTGCTCCATGCAATATGTGCCCTCTTTAATACCCATCACCAGGCTAACACATCCCCCTACCCCCCTCCCCTCTAGAAACCTCAGTTTGTTTCTCAGAGTCCATAGTCTCTCATGGTTTGTCTCCCCCTCTGATTTACCCCCCTTCATTTTTCCCTTCCTGCTATCTTCTTCTTTTTTATTTTTTTAACATATAATGTATTATTTGTTTCAGAGGTACAGGTCTGTGATTCA